TTCTGTTACTCATTGATTGAAGATGGCATAAGCATGCCGAAACATGTCTCTCAAAAAAGTTGTCTATTTCTTGAAATAAAGGTGCTGTAAAATAATGATGTAAAGTATTGAATGAAGGCAATTTTTCTTTCTTATAATAAGGTATTTCATAATTCTTAGCTTAAGGAATTTGGTTGGTATTCTTCTTTCTTATTCCCACTTTTCTGTATGAAAATGTATTAATACTGTGGTGAGAAATTTCTGTTTGATCACTCCCGAGAGAGAAAGGGTTCAGGATGATTGTTATGCCCCAAAACACGGCAAAACAACTACTGCCAAAGCTTAAACACATACCACAGAAGCAACCTTAAAAACTGAAAATTTGAATGGGAGGACATACACGTATACGTGATTCAGACTCACCTTGTTTGCATAGTGCCCTTTGTCACCACACTGAACAGAAAATAAAATAAAAAAATTTAAGAGAATACCAGAAAGAAAAAGCAACAGTGAAAAATGAAGCTAATGCCATTGTTCAAAGTATCAACAAGAATGCATCAGTCTACTGTTTTCTTTTGTTTAGTAATGCTCAAAAGAAATGTACATGCTTTTGGTTCATGGACTACATGTACCACATGTACCACCTCAAAAGAACATTTTAAAAACAAAGCAAGTACTTGTAGATTCATTAGGGTTTCAGAAACTTGTAATTGGGTTCAAAAGTAAAAAAAAAAGATTGCTTTTTTTTTCTTTCCTTCTCATTATGAAAATATCACACCAACCTCTAAATAAGTCAGAGGTAAAACTATGAAATTAATGCAAAATGCCATTTGTTCACTCCAATTTTTTCTATGCTTTTAGCCATTTGCTTCTTTTTCCCCTGTGTTTTTAGGGGCTCTTTGTTATACCCCCTATGTTTTGAAAGACTGTGGTGATTATTTTAGGTTTGAGCGAGTCAATCAGATAACACTCTACTGGAGAATTGGACTTCTTCACATGTGAAAGTGTAAGATGTTGGCTTTGGGACAAACCAAGTAGTTAAGTATTTAACAAGCCTTGACAGATCCATATCAACTTTATACTTACCTTGAAACAAGTGACTGTTTCTAGCGGCCGTCTCATTGTTGGTCTATCAGCATCCAAATGTGCATTTGTTGTCACTGGAACAATACTTAAATTAATGTTTGGATGCATAACTTGTTGATTCTGCAGAAAAAGAGAAAACCGATAGTCTCAATGGCTAAGGTTAGCTAATTAAGAGACTCATTGCACTGGAGATTTGGTTTCCGTCACAAAATGCAAACAGGATTAGATGCTTGCCCTCACTCCACCTTTTTCAAATTTCCAGATCAATTCCCAAAAGCCTATTTAACAACATGTGTGGAAGAAAAATCTGTGGAAGTAATGTGTTTTTCCTAAGAATACACAAAGGGATTCCTGCCTTAGAGTCCAACAAATTATTTGCTAGGGCAGCCAATTCATGCACAGAAGTACTTCCACCACCTGCTGTAACTGCTTTTAAGAAGGCAGCCTGCTTTAAGAAAACGTGCAGTACCTTAACTGCGGATTGCAATAATAACAATAATAACGTCAATTGAATACTACAGAGATTTAAATCTCTACTTGTTCCAACAAGATTTGAACTTTTCCTTTCATCTGTTTTCCTTGTTGGGCAACAAATAACAATATCCTTATCCCCTGCATTTAGACATATTTGTCACTTTTTTTTTGTTGGATCCATGTAAACATCACATCTGTCGTTTCCTCTCAAATATAAAATATGAGGGCAACTCACAACAGCTCAAACAAAGCACCAGTCAGTGCAATTTCCCTATTTGTATATAACTGCCTCTGAATAACGCTCTCATATGCAACTAAAAACAACTTTAAAAATACCAAAAACAGTCATCAAGGTCCCAGTTGGTTGAAGGATGAATAAAGCTATTTATTGGATAGGCAGGAATGGTGTACTTCTATCCTCTGGATAGCGCAGTGCATTTTGCTAACACTTATCCCCTGGCTAGCAAGTTATCTGTTAGATAGCCGTATCTACCCTTTGAACAACTGAGCCCTGATGTATTTTAAATGCCTTTTTTTGAGAACTAAAACACTTTAAAGGATCCATTGCACTATAGCATGACTTCACCAACCTTAAAGTTTTCTTTTTGGGGATTTGTTGGACAGCTGGATGCTTTGTGGCCAGGTTGATTACAGTAATGACATACAATGTTCATGGCTTTTTTCTCACTACTTTCATCTTTTACAGGTAGCTCAAATCTGGGACTAAAAAAAACAAAGTCCTTTCATCCCCACACTTGCTTTTCTTCATTCTAATGGCACAGTTCAAAATTAAGATTCAAACAGCAGTTCAGTCAACCATGATGACAAAAAAGTCGTCCATGCAACCATTTCAAAATAACAAAGATAAATTCTTTTACTGGCACATTCAAAAGAGGGCTCTTTGTCTACTGTTTCAAGTCACTTTGGAATTTGTTGTATCAGTTCTTGTAGAAAGAATGAAATCCAACAACAAGCTCAGCCCCCACAGATGATGCCAAGTTCAAATAAGAGAACCCCAATACAATAGCGCTGGGAGGTAAGCATACCCCCATTGCACCAACACTTGCTCTCCTTTTTATTTAGATGAAAATTAAGAGCCTGGTTGCCTCTCAGTGACTAAAAAGTAATGGTCAACTTAGCCACTAATAGACAGTAAATAGATAAATAAATATTCAGTGAAGTAACTCAGAAGAACAAACATTGATTTCAAAACAAGAAAGCAAAACATTGCCAAAAAGTGATGACAGGATTTAGACCCTGTTTTCTCTTACAGTACAGATGCTTATAGTCAAGTCTTATAGTAGAGCAATCATGATAGATGCAAGCTCACAAATCACAACTTACTGCATATGTTTACATTTCGGCCCTTCGGGACAAAACCCACACATGTAGTTCAGGCAAATCACTCTCCTCACATGTCGATGCCTACAGCTCGGACCTAACATTAAAGAATAAAACCATAGCATATATTCAGAGAGCTGCCACTAAAAAGAACTTCATTTTTAACACCCCTTGCAGCAAGGATTAGTTCTTGTTCACTAAAAGACACTTTTCTTGACTTATGATTTGTTTATCTATTCTCCATTCCTGTCATTTTGCCAAAAGTATTGATAAGATACAGTAGGGAAAAGTCATCTATTATTCCCTTTATTTTTAAATCATTAAAACCTTTTGGTCAAAACTAAAATCACATCACAGTAATTGATATACCAGTACCTACAAGGCTGTCCTCTAAGAAAAATTGAAGGGAGCCCAGTGATCTGAAATTGTAAAATCCAGGGTGCCCAGCACACACTTTCTATTAAAAAAAATTAGATTCTTGAGTCACCTAAGAGCAAAAGTAAGGTGCCAGGGGCCACTGGGCACTGCTAGACCACAGCCCTGATTCTAATGACATACCATGCTTGCAGAATCCTCTGTCATACCAAGGACAGTCCTTTATTTTAGACTCTGGATCAATATGAAGGTATTGGCATTCCTTGTTACTGCATTCGCCTACATGAATTATGAATAAATGAATTATGAATATATGACTATAATGTATGAATTTTCATTTTTCTTTATCTCACGCTGGTGACTAGACGAAAATACATCTTTCTCCATTTCTTTACTGAGCTCAAACTYTCTTTCTTATTCTTTACAAACCATGAAGATTCAACATTGCCCAACTTAGCAGTATGCAAGACATGTGTCATATATGAACTTCGCGATGGGCCTTACTCACTATCAAGTCTCTATGGCTCAACGCTAGAGCATCGGAGCCCAGAATCGGAAGGTCTGAGGTTCGATTCCTCACTGAGACTCAGATGCTTTTGTCTCACGCTCGTGACAAGACAGAATGATAATGATAATGCTGACGTCCGATCTCAATCTTAGTAACACTGTAGACCTTAGCAATTCAGCCTATGCTGCTATTAAGGTATCGAATCATTCACTTTCACTTTCATTAGACAAAAAACATCTTTCTACATGAATTACATTGTATTTGATCTTAGTATATCATGTATCATTTGTTTAACTAAAAAATCTGACTAGTACATCCACTACAGCTCATCATGGTTTCTGCAGCATCCTATCATTAGGAGTATTACATCTCATCCTGAATGGAAAGTTCTTCCTTTACAAGTTTGAAGTAAAAGTAAATTCTTTTCAAGAGCCAAGTGGCCCATCCAGTCATGGTTTATCCTAGTTTTCCTAGCATCAAGTGACCAACAATATTCAGGATTCATACCCTTTTTTAGAGAACAAATTTTAATCACTTTTCCAGGACTAAGTTTGATTTTTCCAGGACTTCAAATTTCACCTTAAACCCTTTCCTTTTCAAGATTTCAAATTCAATTATATTTACAGTCTACATACATTGTTTACAACCTAAATTCTGAAAACTTTATTGCTTGAGTTAAGCAGATTTCCTAGACTTTCCTAGACCTTTAGTCTTTTTCCAAGACTTTCCAGTCCTGGCAAATGTCATAATAAAATTCCGAGACTTTCCAGGTTTCCCAGGACCTATATGAACCCTGAGCATTGCTACTCTCTCTCTCCCATCACAATTTGTCTAACATTCACTGAGTTTCCCAAAAAAAACATCAAAAACCACTTACAATCTTGGGAAGAGAGAAACACTGTAAGAATCAATTAAATAAAAATCAACCGCCTCCCGGTTAGCTCAATGGATAAAGTGCTGGACTGTTGTGCAGGAGGTCGAGGGTTCGAGCCCAGGCTGGACCAACACTCACGGTCTTAAAATAATTGAGAAGAATTTGCTCCCTTTCTATAACATCAAGAAATGGTTAGATATTCTAGTCTTCTTGGATAGGGACAAATAAATGGAGGTTCCCTCTCCTGCAGGGTTGGGGTAGGAGACATTAATCTCCCACACACGAGATTACTGTGTGATGGATGTCTTCCCCTGGGGTGGGATGTGAGGGTTTATTGGGCCCACAGTAATCGGTGCAAGCTGTTGCGGTGTCCCTGCCGGTTGGCAAAGCTAAATAAAGGCGCCATGATCCAATGTAACTTAACTCTGAATAAAATTAAATCAGTGCACTGCATCTAAGTTAAATGTAACAATTGCAAAAAAATATGACTGGCATGCACTTACCAAACTTGGAATAAAAGTAACATTCAGGCATTTTTGTCATGTCATATTCATGAAGAAACTCGCACTGATCACCCTTTTTACAAAGCCCTCTCAGCCAATGCTTGCAGACAACTGTCTTTTCACCTTTGGTATGTCTAAAAGGACACACTGCCCCTCGATTACACATGTTCCTCATGAAAAATTCACAAACTGCAGCACCAGACTCTGTAGAACAAGAGATCACCAAGAGAAGAACACACAACAGAAAATAAACATTGTCATTTAAATCACAAAACTTTTGGAACATACAATACGAGACTGAAAAACTGCGAGCAGCCACAATAATTAGTTCATAGCTTTGTGGTTTGCATGCACTCTTATCTCAAATGTGATAACAAAATAACTTTTGTCTAAATATTGTAGAAGTTTACGTAATAGCGTCTTAATCAATTAAGAGTTTGACATTTAAACAGGTCTGCTAAGTTCAAATGCATCGCCTGAGATTTGGAATGTAACTAGTTTTAAAAACATTAACGTGCAAAAAGCGATCACGATATTTGTCGCAATCAAAACTCGTTTGAACGGTACTGTCCATCCCTGGGAACGGAAGAGGCTGAACTCCAACTTGGTTGTAAAGCTGCATCTCAATTTCAAACTTGAGATCCGCTACACTCGCTACAATATCTTCCATTGTGATACACAGCAAGGAAAATACAGCAAGATCCTTCAAGAGGTAGCTTTATCCCAGGTTAGCGTTATTCTTCCACGAAAGATTACTGCCAGAGACTTTCCACCAATGTCGCACATGGCCCACTGTCAAACATGGCGACCTGCCGGATAAAAAACATTAAGGCGAGGCTGCTAAGCACGTGACGCTGACTTGTCTCGGGACCTTCGAGGGCTCAAGTTAGGTCGGCCATTTCCTCTTCGTTTCATTGGCAGTGAAAAATTTTGAATAATTTTGTCTTAATCCTCATCTACTGATTTCAGTCTGAATCAAAATGTCAAGACGAGGAGGTAGGTTTGAGCATTTTTGGGTTTTTGTTAAACTTTTAAGTATCGTATCAGACGTTTTTGGCTGTTTTAGGTCGAGGAAAAGCACATCACAAAGGCAGAAGACGTCATTTTACCGATGCAGAGGAGCTGCAAAGGGAGATGGAAAGGGATAAAAGAAGGCAGGTAGGGAGGGTAATTTGATTTAATATTGTCCTAGATACCTTTTCTTTAAATTTAATTTTGAAACGAGTAAAAATAAACAATGTAAATAACGTCAACAAGTACAACTTATCTAGCACAAGATGTCGAAAACTTTTGATTTAATGAAAATGCAACGTGAATAAAATATGATGCAATACACACATGTACCGATACGTACCTTTTCAAACAATAAGTTCAAGGCCTTATTTGCCAGATTATTTTCATCATCGAGGATAGATATTTTGGTGTAAAAAACTTTTAACTACATTTCCAGTCGAGTTACTCATAGTCTAGAAAACAAGTCGACGAATAAAAGGTATCTCTCAAATTATTTGCACGGAGCTGACGTTGTTGTTGCTCGCTAAGCTATTGATTTATTTACGACGATGCATTTGTATAATTAATCAGCATAGGAAACTTCTATGTGACACTGTTGACTCACCCCATTCCCGTTTTAGACATTAAAGCTTGTATTTAGATTTATTTTCAAATATGATTTTTTCAATGATAATTATGTTCTTGGAATCTTATCGATTGTCTCTTTGAAACGCTAATGAATAAAGGGGGTAAGGTTCTAAAGAAACTGTGGTGCTGTGTTGGTGGGGGAGCATAACAAGATAAATTGGTTTAATCAACTGAGTTGATAATGTAAATTAGCCACCATCAAGAGTGTCAGAGCTGACATTTCAAGCGTTAGCCTTTTGCCCCTGACAAAGGGCTAACAATAATTCATATTGTAGAAGAAACATTGTTGGATTTTTTTCAAAAAACATTTAAACTGAATTGCTCAGCCTTTATCATTTAGCAACATGAATTGTGGTTTTTGAAACTTGAACTAACAATGTTCACCTTGGAATTTGAAATTTTCATCTTCAGGAGGAGAAAGAAGGTGATGGTTCAGATGAAGAAGGTGCTGCTGCAGATAAACACGAGGCCAGCAGTGAGGAGGAATCTGACAGTGAAGAAGAGGTAATGAAATACATGCTGTGGCCATCTGGCTTTAGGTAGTCCAGAAAATGATTCTTGTCAATGACAGTTGTTGACATTTTGAAACCCTGAACAAATGACAATGTCAGAGACACATCTTGCGTCAAATGAGAGTCAAGTAACTCAACCCAACTCTGATAATGAATTCTGCTCAGTTTGTAAAATGATCAGTCACTTTAAGTTTAGGAACAACCTCCCCCAAATAATCACATTAAACCATCAAATTTTACCCATGAGTTGAAACTAAAGTGGAAACCTGCTCACTCATAACCCCCCTAGTCACTCATACAAGATCTCGTTTCCCTTGACTCATTTTTTCAGTCATTTACTATCAGCTAACTGGAACCCCTGCTAGCTTGAGTTCAAGTTAGGCAGGTTCTACTGTAATTACTCTAAAATATACACAACTTGTTTGATGGTTTAGCGTGTAGTACGCACTGATATTTTGCAAGTTGGGCAGTATTTTTATGAGCCCCATAAGGGCAAGGAGAAACACAGGCAATGAGTAAAATGTGTATTATATGTTAAACCATCAGATAACAGAGTTACTTTCCAATATGATTTCCCCTTTCCACTATGATCTCTGCTTTTTATCCATACATTTTTGTAATCCAATTTTTTGTAATACCAAGACACTTTTTGGATGTTTTCATTCCTTATTATGGTAAAATGTTGTGGAAGTGGAATTACAAAGGTATTAAGAGTGGTATGTTTTGACTTTGCATCACCCAGATTCTCCTCCCAAAAACACTGAAAAGGTTTTTTTCTTTCATTTTTGTGGCAGGTTAAACCAAAAGGTGTAAGTGGTCTCATAGAGATAGAAAATCCCAACAGAGTCACTTCAAAAACAAAAAAGGCCTCAGACTTAACAAATGATGATAGTAGTACTGTGCAACTATCTCGAAGAGAGAGGTTTGTCATTAACACAATGCTTTTATGCTTCAAATAGCATAGTTTGCTGCGGGTGATACTCAACTTTGTGAACTTTGAAATATCCAGTGCCATAATTTTGGTGTTATCATCCTTAATTTGTTTGTTTGTTTGTTTTTTGAAGGGAAGAGATTGAACGGCAGCGTAATGCAGCGAGAATGAGAAAACTTCAAGAAGAAGGGAAAACAGACCAGGCCAAGGCCGATTTGGCACGACTAGCAGTCATACGAAGGCAAAGAGAAGAAGCCGCACGAAAAAAAGAAGATCAGAAAAAAGGTATTACTTTAAGAAACATTTAAGGTGTTAGTGGCTTGCAAGTATAATTGTATGTGCAAATCAAATCTTCATGGGGAAAACTTCTCTCCAGGTGGCAGAAGGTTCCTTATAGTTTCCATTGTAAATAGTTCAATTTTACAATTGCATGCTTGGTTGCCAAGCCTTTGAAAAGGAGCAAGGCTTAGGGTAACCTTGTTATGATAGAAATGTCGCTGCTTTTTAAACTTAAATTACTTTGTTATCATGCGAACTAGATACAAGTCTATCACAGAAAGGTCACCTTCAACCTCACTCCAAATCAAAGGCTTGGCAACTAAGTGTGCTACTCTAAAATGGACTCTTGCTTGTTCGTGGTTCTGACTCTTTCAAATCAGATTGGTGGGTAGAAATGGCCACTAACCCTTTAATCCTCAAGGGTCACCAGCATCTAGTTTCTTATATCACCAGTGAGTTAAACTTGAAGGTCACAAGAATAAGGGAAATGATCACCAACAAAGAAGCTGTAGATTGTTAAACCAATTCTCCTTGTCAGCACCTTGGGAAATGTATAGAGAACAGTATGGAGAATATGCATACTGCTGTTAGGGTGTTCAGTGTTAATGATGTTTCATGATTTAAGCAATTTGAAGTTGAAAAAAGTAGATTGGCACAGCCTGTACATAGATTATACAGAAGAATCTCAAGATATTGTGAATACCAACTGTATAAAGATAAAAAAAAAAAATCTATCTTTGAACACACTAACTTTTTTTTGTACAAAAAACAACAACCAAGAACATTTAGACTGCAAGCAGGGTCTCTCCAATGTAGTAGTACAAATAGCAAAGAGATAAAAGAGTGTACAGCCACTCCCATCACGACTCTGAGAATTGCATCTAATAATTCAAATGCCTTTTCAAGATCATAAGTTTTGTGCTCAGAATAATCTATTATTTTCTTTTTTTTAACAAATATTTGTTACATTACAGCAAAAGAAGCTGCCGAGGCTGCCAAAAATGCCAAACGATGATAGAGGCCTATTTAAAGGTGCACTGTCCTGTTGTGAGAGCATTTAGGATAACAGAAGTGAAGGAGTGATGGCAGACATGGACAGATTCGGTGCAGATAATCGTATTTTTCGTACAAATGTAAAGTACTGAAACAAAATGCTCGTAAACCAGAAGTAAATTTGATACATGTACCTAAATGTTGGTTCAGCGGTGGAAAAGTTTCATTATAGGCAGATATTAACCTTCTAACAAATCGCAAATACACCCGTCAGCTTTTTGATTAACTAACAAGCTGACGGCTTCTTATGCATGGATACATAAGATCGACATAAAAAGCCAGTTCTTGTAGTTTTGGGCATACTGTTTTGGGGCAAGGTTGCGGAAAATTCGAAGAAAAACAAAGAAATCTTGACTTGGTAGTTCGTTGCCGTTCCATTCAATAAATCAATTAATCGTTTAATTATCAAGGTATTTTCGACAAGGCAAAAACACTCAATCAAAATACCGGCCATATGCTTCCCGAAGAAAAAAAACTGAAGTAAAACAAGTGATATTAGAGAGACCCATCTTACTGGCGGAGAACTTTATGAAAGCAACTTAGAGATGCCAAAGAGTTGGCTTGCAAACATTCTGTGTTCTTTGTCGGTTATATCTAAGCAGAGGCAACCCTCCTGGAAGTGACTCCTTTAGATCATAGCTTGTCGTCGGATCAGCATGTCAGTCCGTATACGAATGGATTCGTTAACCTAAAATACTTTATTCTACTACATCAGAGCAGTGCCACGAGCTATTGACCCTTCTACTTCCCAGATCTGAATGCCAATTCTCCCCTCTACCTGCTTCACATTTCCCTGTAAATTAGTTCATAAACTGACCAATTATCTTGTACTACACCCCTCCCCCCACACACGCGCTCACGCACAAACAAACACACATACGCCACACACGCGCACACACACACAAACACACACACTGACGCAGGACTATAGCACCTTAAGAAATTTAACCCCTTTATTCTCGAGTCATCGTGACATTTGAACTTCTGCATGTCACTAATCAACAGAATAAAGGCTGATAGTTTCGAAAGAAACTGTTTGGGGCTGCGTCGGTGGGAGTAACGAAATAATTTGGATATATCAACAAAGTTGAAATGGTAAATTGGCCACCGTAATGATTACAAAAGCTGACGTTTCGAGCGTTAGCCCTTCATCGGAGCTAATCAACAGGTCGACGTCAGAGTCCATATCCAACGGTCTTACGCAGTCCTCCAGCATAGACTAGATAACACATTTTTTTCTTTCGACTTAAACGAGGCAATCGTGAGTGTCAACTGATAGGGTTGCTCTATGTCAAGTAACGTAAGCTTAAGACAACGAAGTTTAGATAATAACAAAGTCACTGCAGAGACGACTGAAGAAAGTATCTAAATGCTTAACAATATCAACACAGTATTCAGCACACAGATGATGAGAAAACTTGAGTCAGCCAGGTAGTTGAATTGAAAAATTGCGAAAACAAGGTTTTGGAGTTGAGGGTTCGAAAGCCCTCCTTGAAGGTATGAAAACTTGATTGTTGTTAAAGGGGTGGTCGAATATCGAGATCATCTGGTAACACTAGAAAATCACTTTCCTCTATCGTCCAGAACAAAATTATACGTATCCATGGTAGTTTAATTGGCGAATTGGAATCAGATGGTAAAATGTTACAATGCCTTTCTCTCGTCAAAATCTATTCTTTTTACCGATGGCAAGAGGAAAAGACTTGTACCTAATTGTTCAGGGTGGAGATTTTCACCAAGTCTTCACTGATTATAAATTGTACTGGTCATTTCATTATTATTAATTATTATTATTATTATTATTTTAAACTCCAGTACACCATCGGAAGTTAGAGCCCTGTTCTATGCCACTTACCTTGGACTTTCAAGATATCTACGAGTTTTTTTTAAAGAAAAAAAAATTTCAGGGAAAATTGAATTGAAATGGATAATAATTGAAGGGATAGTGTCTGATTTCATTCCCTTAGAGCAGCATACGAAATCGCCGAGAAAAAAATTGGTTATTTCCATGCCTGTTTTCATGACGAGCCAGAGAGTTACGTTACCGGCGAAACAGCCTTGTTTTCCAGAAAAAAAAATTATCATATTTGGGTGGAGTTCTTGTATTCGAAGCTTTTTCATGTGTTTCGATTATAGGAGTAAAAATTTCACGAAAGCAGAATCGCAAGTTTTATTAAGATGCGTAAACAACAACACAACAACGATCTTAAAGATCTTGCTTAAATTCATACAAGTCTTTGATAGCGTGCGACATTTACAAACTATTGAGCGTGATGTAAAGCAAAAGACCGAAAAAATAACAATCCTGTTACAAAACGACAAAATAAAATAGGAGAAACTCAAATTATATCGAGCGCTTCAAATGGCGAAATAATTACTGCTGTATTAAAAAATTGCCTAAAATCAGTGAAAATGCACCTCGTCTGATACATCCAAAGCAAATTGAAGTACTTCTGCCCAACCCTTCTTGTTTTAGCCGAAGCGTTTGTCTTAATTCTTGTAATACTTTTTTTTTAATTCCGATTCTGAAAAACTCTCTCTTCTGAGAATATACCGTTCTTCGTTCGTAGTCATTCGTTGGTCCCGGTCACAGCTACGTAGTTACTTGTCAGCCAAGAAAAATCTGCGACTGCTCGAGGAGGCATTCTTTCTTGCTGTGTCTTGTCTACTTGCGCGACCCATTCTGTTTCTTTTCTGTTTTTGTTGATGTCTTCAGCTATAGCGTTATCCTCAAATGACTGATCACTTCCGAAATCGCTGTTTCCCTCAGGGGTCGATCGTGTTATGATACAGCCCATCTTTGACTTTCAAAAACTGACGAATTCTCTCTCGGCTGACGGTAGCAACGAAGGTTAATTCGTGCCGTTGTGATGATGAAGATACCCGAACGTTTTTACTCCACTTCGCATGAAATGTGTTTTCTGTCAATCATTGATCAGATATCCAATCACGGCCAAAGGATTGATTAGTATTTACGTCACAAGCCGTGTCCGTTGCATTGTGTTTTCATAGGAAAAAATGTAAAAAAAACAAAGCATAACAGTTCTTTAAATCTTAATTTCGCAAAAAATGAAGAAATAGTATTTACTGAATAAGAAGGAATAGGACGAATAATAGTAGGAAAAAAAAGGCCAAAAGGGAAAGGCGCAAACGGGACACTCGAACCCATGCGAGCCGCCCACCAAAAGAAATTTAAGTTTAAAAAATTACAGACGGAATTGACCCAACGATGGTGACAAGGACAATCTTGTGAGACGGGCCAGGTGAACATAAAAAAAAAAAAAAAACTGACTTTAAATGGGGACTTAGACGTATTTTTCAGAAATGATTTAAAGAACCCGGGGAGATATAATTACTTAGGAAAGTTGCATTGCATAGTGTATTCCGTCCACAATTTTACAATACGAACAAAATATGAAGCTCGAAAATTACTGGTCTTGCAGGCTGGGAGAGTAAGATAGTGGCCAGAAGACTGACCGCGTCGCCTACTTGAATGATTGTTTAAGGTAATATAGTGTGGACTAACATCAATTTATCAATCCAGCCGCAAACGGCCTTTTGTAAGAAAAAGAGATCTATAATTTTTCTACCTTATTTAACAGGAAGCATATTCAAGCAAGCAATCTATCTCTATACGAAATATGGCAAGGATTTACGCAAAATCCATCTTGTGGCTTACCTCTGAACTTGTTCTATCTTAAGTTTTATTCACTTCTGAGCAAGAAACCAGACTTCGGAAATGTAACAAAGCTGGGGTTTCATGATCGCTAACTTTTGGGAGCCTTCTCAGTGCTACTTTATTTTACATAGGACAAAATCTCTTCAACAGACCGAAACGATTGTTCGCTTGCACATGCGAGTCCTGGGTAAACTTGCTCGAAATAATCATACTCAGATCCTTCTCCTCGTACACACCCAGTAACTTTTTGGGGCCTAAAAAATAGCCTCAAATGATAGCCCTCTTCTTCTGCGTTATTGACAAAATCTTCCATTTAAAAGCATTAAATTGGATATTGTTATCCACGAAAAAAGGTGTCTCTCAAAGCTCGTTGTAGTCGTTCACAATCTGTGATAGATAACGGAGGAATGAATCGTGTTTTAGTATTTTCATCGTAGAGAGTAAATTGAATACACTTTGGTAGAACACCTGGCAGATCATTAATGAAAGAACAACAGAAGTGGGCCTCTGGGCTCCCCTGAGGGACTCTCGATGTGGCTGGGGCCCGTTGCTAGGCACAACAGTCGTCCGAAACGCCCAAGCGCTTATTCCCCAACACTGCCTGTTAACTGTGCGCAAAGTATCTTAGTGTTTATAATCGCTCATTAAATGAAAATTGAAAGACTAACCTTAAAAACGTACTGCGTTACAGCCTTAGTGAAGGACATGAACACAGCCCTTCTGATAATCAGTTACAAAAACATCTCCACTTTTAGACACGGCAACATAATGCGGTACAAATAGAGACTGTCGGATGATCGAGACAAACTTTCCGTCCAAAATACTTGAACTCTAGTGTTCTCACTATCACAAACCATCAAGTTGTTAAATTTGTCAATTGCGAGTCCCGCAGGATGGTGTAGCTGTCCTTCACCAGATCCCTCGCTGCCAATATTGTACAACAACATTCCGTCCTCATCATAAACACGGTTGGCTTTAGAGTCAGAAACAACGAATTTCTCCTCGTGGTAGATGGTGCCGGCTTCTTATTGACTGATCATCTTCTGAAGCACGGAAGCATTTTATTAATTCTGTCCCGTAGGGGGAGGTGACCACGATTACATGATTTACTGAATCACTTGCGATGATGCAATCGTCTTTTCCAAGGATATGTAAAAAGGAAATGTCAAGTTTATACTATTGACGTACTTCGCAACATTGCCGTCTTAAGCAAATTCACATCCACAGGAGTAGCGGCGATAATGTGACCAGACTCGGTAAAGCTTAGTGACGTCAGTACAAGGGGTGGTCAATCCTTTCTGTCTCGGGTAACTCCCATCAGAGGTAAACAGCTGAATTATTTTACCTTTAATGTAATGAACGACAATTGTTCCCGTTTTCTCGCTTATGGCAATAACATAAAGACCATTGATAGATAGATAGATAGATAGATAGATAGATAGATAGATAGTTTATTACCA